AAATATTAAAATCTTGAAAATATAATCCTAGAAAAAAAATATATAATAAGTCTTTAAAAGATATTTATTTACAGATTTTTAAATGAAATTTATTTGAGAAGCATATAAACACATGACAGAACACTCCATAGCCCCTTTTACACAATAAAATATTTAATAACAGTAGAGGTCAATATGTATGAACTGTTCATAGACATATATTGATTATTATTACATTAATACATAGTAGTTAAAATCAAATATATAGAATTACAAATTATAAAAATCAATGCTGAAAATTTTAAATAATGTGGAAGAAAATAAAAACATCAACATACGAAAAAGCATGTTACAGTAGAACCTCGAAAACTCGGCTCTCGATAACCCGGCACTCCGGATAACTCGGCCACACCCTGGCAGGGCAAAAAAATCCTTAGTTAATTAATTTTCATTATAGACAGCTTTATAAAAGTATAAAAGCTCTCATAAAGTATTTTTCTGAGGTCTGTCTTATCAGGTAAATTACTGTACACAGTGTATTCATTAATTTTCATTTTCATGTAGTAAAGGCTCTATGCCTTCATAAAGGACGTACTTTTCCTTTGTTTAAGGGTATTTGGGCACTTTATTCTTTGTTATATTCTCAAGTAAACAATACATACAAGTACAGTACAGTATTTTCTGAGGAAACACTCGTACTTATTTTTTTTAACCCCATTCCCGATAACCCGGCATTTTCACAAACTCGGCCACCCTTCGGTCCACATTAGGCCGAGTTTTCGAGGTTCTACTGTACATGGAAAGATTATAAACAATTGCATGGAGGTAATCCATAAGACCTGGCTGACTTTCACAATTATTATCTATAGATATATTGTGGTGATTCTGTAGCGATGCGTGATGGGTTCCGCGAACAGACCGACACAAAATAAAAGAAACGAATTAAATAAAATAAAATCCGGTTCCCTTTTATTATCGCCAGAAAGAATCGAAGCAGATTCTTTATGGATCCCAACTTCTCAAGTACAAACACTTGTATAGGCTTGACGTCTATTACAACAAAATTATCACGTGCTATACGTGCCCCGACAATCAAGCGCGTGTAGATCTAAAAACTAGAACTTAACCTACTTATAACTATCGAAGGAAAGATTAGATAGGAGAGAAGATAGAACAAGACAGAAATACCCGGGGTTCCTTTCCTAACGTACGTATAATACTGGGGTGAGACACCACTCTTTGTGTTCGTCGTGACTCCTTTGGTTGTAAGCGTCCTTTCTTTTCCTTGCACTACGTGTCCTTTCTTGACTTTCCGTAACACACTCACTTCACGCACTCTCACTGCTCGAGGACGATCCTTTCTACCACCTTGCTCTCTCTCGTGCTGGTACAAGAATGAGTTCCCTTTCCTTCCTGCAAGACCCCCTGGGTCTTCCTCCTATTGTTCACCGGGCTTTTCTTCGAAATGGTAATCCCACCCCGAGGGTAAGCGGATTAGAAGGGAAAATTTAGAAAATAATCAAGATAAAGAACGAAAGAGTTTCTAAGATTAACTTATATTACATAGAAAACTATAAATTATATGGCCGACGGCCACAATATTTTAAAATCTTGCTTTGCAATGAATATCTGCTTTTTTTTCCTTTTAGGGTATGGCTCTTCTCAGAGAATATGCTCATATTCATTTTCTATGTGGCATTGCACTTTTTGAAATTCTTCAATGATTCAATATACATGAACTGAGCATTCCTTATTAAACTTTCTCAACTTCTGTGCCATGCTTCTAGGTTGTTTTGGGTAGGCAGAAATCCATTCTGCATACACTCATATACAGACCACAAATTTCTCATTGAGAATTAAGGTTTTAGGAATTTTGGGATTTTGATTTTTGGAATTTTAGCCTTTCAAGGTTTTTATCTTATGGGATTTCAACAAAATTATGACTTACTTAAGCCTGTAACCGATGCGAAATCGTAAAATATTAACGTACAAACGTTTTCGGAACACCTTCCGTGTTCTTCCTCAGGTATTCAAACTGGATTTTTTATATTCTGGAACACCGCTATGAAATTTTTCAAAAAACGAATGATGATATTTCGAACGCTCGGTGTCCATTGTGCACGCATTGTACACGTTGTGTTCCCGGTTGTTCATAGTCCCATTCAATCTTCTAATTATTATGTAATTTCTCTCGTTAATCATACGATGTAGTATGGCTACCCTTCCACGTCATGTGTCCCCCCGCAGCATCCAGTGTTAAATCAATCTTTACGAATCATTATGCAAAACGACCTGCCAAGCGTACGAAAGAGCCATCTCCTCCCGTGTATTAATGCACTCCGCTGAAGTGTGTGCCTTAAATATCTCCACCGCCTCTAGCCATTTGAGGTGGTCCATCTGTGTCGTTTTAACTATTAACGTTGCCCCTGTGAAGTCAACCATAATATCCGGGTCAGAATGCTTCTGACCCGGATATTACAGTTGACTTCGCAGGGTTGATGGCTAGAGGCGGTGGAGATATTTAAGGCACACACTTCATAGGAGTGCATTAATACACGGGAGGAGATGGCTCTTTCGTACGCTTGGCAGGCCATTTTGCATAATGATTCGTAAAGATTGATTTAACACTGGATGCTGCGGGGGGACACATGACGTGGAAGGCTAGAATACTACATCGTATGATTAACGAGAGAAATTACATAATAATTAGAAGATTGAATGGGACTATGAACAACCGGGAACACAACGTGTACAATGCGTGCACAATGGACACCGAGCGTTCGAAATATCATCATTCGTTTTTTGAAAAATTTCATAGCGGTGTTCCAGAATATAAAAAATCCAGTTTGAATACCTGAGGAAGAACATGGAAGGTGTTCCGAAAACGTTTGTACGTTACTATTTTACGATTTTGCATCGGTTACAGACTTAAGTAAGTCGTAATTTTGTTTATACAACCCGGTGTGCTTGTAGGAGTTATTTATGGATTTCAACACTTGGGATTACAGCATTCAGGATTGTGTCTTTCGGGATTATGACCCAAATCTATTTTGAAGTTCTGTTTCTTTTTCAGTGCATTATTGACTGCTTTCTTGAAATCTTTCATTGTAAAAAATTTGTCATTTGAGGAGGAGCTGTTTGGGAGCATAACTGGGAAAGATGGCATAAGCTTATGAACCATGTTTCTAAAGAACTGTGATATACTCTTCAGGTCTGATGATAGTCTTAATATTGCAAACGTCCTTCCATGTGGTGACATTTGACGATAGGGAAGCTGTACCTGTCCTGTATAGAATTATTAGAAGTGTTATACAATATTTTGATTTTCCCTGCATTGAAACAATCATTGTAACTGTTTTTATACAGATGTATCATTTGATTTAGCTGAAACACAGAATATATTTGAAAGAGAGACTACACCTGCTCGGCATCATATTTCCTGCTTACAGAAAATTCTACTCTTTTAGGATTTGATTGATACAAAAGAAAACTGAGAAAGCACTCAATGCATTTGTTGAACTTATTAAGTGGTTTATTTTATTTTTGTTTCATTATCCAAATTAAGGTTTCAGTTTTTGATTAACTAGAACATGCCTAGTAAACCTAGTAGAAACTTAAGCATGTGTCATTGTTACAAAGGTACAGAACATGCCATATCCAATCTTGAAAACTGCATAATGAGATAAATCCAGCATTGCGTGTGTCCATTGATATGTCACCTTTTGGTATGATGAAAGGTGGAGAAACCACATTTTTCTGTGAATGTCAGAACTGTCAATATTATTTGCAAAAGTAAGTCAAATTTTGGAAGCAATTTTGGCTCTTCATACATGCACTAAGTGTCACCTACTTCATATCCGTTTTGACAAAAAATTTTTTGTCATGTTTTGACAATGACCCCTTCATTTACAAGTGACTACATAATAAAGGGAGTCCTTCATCTATGTTTGGAGATTTTTGATTCACCCTGTACATTACCAATGGAAAAATTATTTAGGATAACATTTTAAATTTTAATTTAAAATTAAAGCATTTTATTAAGTTTTAAGTCTGATTTCCACTTTATAAAACAACCTCAAAGATTTTAGTCAATTCAAGAACAGAATCTAATCATAATATAGGAAATTCTCATTAGTTTTGAAATTCAAGGAATGAAATAATCACAATTTCAAATTATCTGAGATTTACATATTTCTGTACAATATGCCAAATGCCTTGTAACTGATGGAATTTATTGAGCAAACAGAATACGGCTACATATACAGAATGCTGTTTTCATTAATTAATAATTATTACCCACAGTTTATTTATACATTAATTATTAATATATAAATAAACTGTGTTTAGATCTGGTGAGAACCTTACAGGTTGTTAGATAGCTTTTATAAAAAGTAAAACAGAATTCCTCAAAATGTAGCTCAAACTATTTTTAACGTGGTCCACAAAGCAGTAAGTCAACCAAATCTAGTAGACTAGAGCCCTACAAATATATCAATCTGATATTCATAACCTAATCCAGAAATCCCAAAATCCAATGATATAAGAGAAAAAAGGGTATCTCATGGGTAAGGTGAAACCCAAAAATGTGTTACTGTAAAAGCAAAGCCATGTTGACTGCATTAGAGTTGTTCTTTGTCTATTGTTCTCTTACAGTATGGAGGCACATTGATCTAAATGAACCAGTTAACACACACATATCAATGTTCAGACAGAATTTTCACTTTGAATTTCGAAGTAGCCATATTTTGAACTAACTGAATTCCTTATCATGTAAATCTCTATAACCCAGGCTGGGATAAATAGTATAGTTACGAACCAATGGGATTTCAAACTATCCGAGTTCAAATTAATGAGGATTTCCTGTATTTATATTAAATATAAAATATAAATAAATTAATTAAATATTTATTAAAAAAAAACACTGAATATTGTTGATATATGCAATATTTTTTTACATACATCCAGTGTGAGTAGTTGAATAAATATTTACATTATAAAACTATTTAACTTATTTATCTTACTTTTGTTTGACATGTTGGTTGTGCTCCGCTTTCTATTAAAAGATAAACTACATCCATAAATCCTTCGCGAGATGCGAAATGGACGGGACAGTTTCCGTTCTGGAAAAGAAATATAGAATTTTGTTCATACAATACCTTGTAATTTGATCAGTATACAGTTAAAATTAAAATATACATTTATTTTAAAATATATTCAATATTCATTTGATTAAATTTTCTTCTAAATGTAGGATAACTTTTAATTATTTTAACTTTATATATAAAGTAAATGTCTATATATTATTAAGTATTATTTAGAAAGTTTTAAATATAACCATTTTATTAATTACTGGTAATTTTTGAAGATGGGCTCTTACAGATATGCTTAAGGGTGTCTAAGCTTTTGAGAAGAGCCTGCTCGGGGAGGGTGTGTCATGTATAAATTACACAGGTATTAAAGACATTTATGTCATCTAAAGATTAACAAACTTCATATCAAAATATAACCATTCTTCATAGTAACACAAGTAAAACTTATTGTGACATTATCACAATGCTGGTTGTAATTTTTAATCATATTTTTAATTTATTTAATTTAAAATATATGATCTAGATCTCAAATGATTAGTAGCTTGCCCCTGTACATCATACTTTTCCTGACAATAACAGTGTCTTGCCAGTCATCTATATAAATGTTTCAGAGAAAACTTTTGAATTAAAATCATGTGACTTCCTCTCTATATCAGAAGTTCATATATAGTTAATCAGGACCTCTTGCCCCTAAGCTTTCCATATCTGGTTTTGACTTTCATCCATATTTATATAGCTATAGGCATAGACCAGGGGTTGGCAACTATTGCAAACGTCCTTCCATGTGGTGACATTTGACGATAGGGAAGCACATGGGACGATTTTCAGTGGCACTCTGATTGAATAGAAATGTAGTAAAAATCATATTTTAATTATTAATTACATATTTAAATGGAAGTCATAGTTCAGCGAAGGCTGTGGTATTAAAAACGAATCTCGTTTGTATATTTCTATTACAGCATTTATGCTCTGTGTCGCCATCTACGTGTTATGCAAGTGCTTCACATGTAAGAACATAATTAAATTAACAATTTAACTTCAAAATTATACATTTTTGAAGTCTGTAATAATCAGATTAATTTTGATAACATATATAATAAACTTGGTAGAATCATGTCGATACTTGGAATAACACTATAACTTATGTTCAGCACAACACCAACCCTGAAAGGTTGCCAACCCCTGGAATAGACTATCTTACAATACCATATTTATATAGTATAGCACAAAGTTGACTATATAGTATACATCTTTAACAAGTTTGACATTGTTATAAAAATCACTCAAAGATTGTTTAAATTAAGAATTCAAAAATTGAGTTGTTTTCTTTCAACTTCTTGTTAATTTACAAATCCAAATAATTTCTTGGTTATAGAAATCTTACATATATAATTAGAAAATGAATAATTAGGACTTCTTTAACTAGGGAATTGGTTCAGAATTTTAAATTAGGAAGTCAGATTTAATACAGAGGATAGCCACAAAAGTTCTATATTATTATATAAATTCATAGCACAAAAATGAAGCTGTCTATTGAAATGCAATTTATGGTAAAAGAAATAACTCAAAACGATTTTGGAACAGATGTTTATAATGGTGCTCAATATATGGTACAAGTAGCTAGCAGAATTAAACAAGGTGACAAATACAGGAAAAAATGCATTATGTATTGTGGTTAGTTGAAACAAAATTGCTATAACTGTGCAAAGAAAGTATCACAGGAAGTATGGAAAGACGTCACCAAGTGTTCTTTCAATTTATGTTTGAATGGAGAAATTTAATGACGCTAGGGGACTAGAAGGTTGAGAAGTGTCAGCATTTGAAAGATTATGGTCTCTGATTGACATCAGATGGATCTGTGAAACAGGTTTGAGAAGCATTCTATGTAGGAGTCCAAGGAATTCAGAAGTTTATTGAACTAATAAAATATGTTAAGTTATTCTTTCTTTTATCACAAACCACATTTTAATAGACCACTTTGTTTTGTGCTATAAATATATACAGTAATAATAAAGGTCTTTCTTGGACATTCTGTATTTGAAATAATTTTTGAAACATTGAAAATTTATCATTTAGTACAATATGGTCATTCAAATATGATGTTAAAAAAGACTTAAAATTTGTGACAACCTACACCTTCCCTGTTACATTTTGTCACCAACTTTTATATATCCCCTATGTTGATATCACATTGATCTGCTACTCCGGATATTAAAATCAAGAATTTCTGTAAAACAGAGCTACAATACATTAATTTATTGATATTTTCTGCTAAACGAAGGATAGTTTTAAAATCAGACCATAAAAAATCAAAAGACATGCACTGATTAAATTTTCATCCTAGTTAATGGATCATCTTTAGAAATGGACAGTTGAAAGTGGAATGCTAGTGTCGGAAGGATGAAGGGATAGAGTCCAATAGAGTAAACAACTGGGGGAGGTGGGCTATGATGTCAACAGCTGATATGAAAGAGTGAGGAGAGATTGCCAGGTAGGGAGGGAGAAGGGCATCCTTGTTCTTTCTGTTTAAAGATATTTTAGCAACATGTTGACAAACAGTTTATATTCTTTTTTAAATTATAAGCAATATCATTTTCACTTGTCTTAATAAATAAACACTTTTACAATTTTAGCTTTTAAAAGTAATTTAATTTTAAAATAATTTGCTAAACATTTCTTGGTCACTTCACAAACTTTCAATTATATTATACTTTATGTCAGTTCAATATATGTATGCTCACAAGAATAGATTATCTTACAGTGGTCACAAAGTGCTTATACATGATATGATGTGCTTAGTTAATAATTGTTTTATGTTTTGGTAGGGCTTCTGTATGGTGAACACCAATATATACAATAGAACAGAGATTGATTATTTGTATTCAGCTTTACAATTGCTTCAATTTAAAAAATCATAAAAGAAAAATTCTCAACTTTATTTGACAATGATTAAAAAGTTAAAACCTATCAGGGACTGTTTTAATAATTTTCAACTGTCAATATGGAAGAAGATATTCAGAACAACACAAGGAAATTAAAATTTGTGCAGATAATGAAGGAGAATATATGGATAACTTCTAATGTGTAAGGATGGGACCAATTCATAGTAATCATTATAAAGTCAATAAATGATTCATAATTATCATTGTGTTTTTAGCTTTCTTATCACAATATTTTTTTTTATAAATTAAAAATAACAGTTTAAACTAAAGTAATACTTTTTACTCTTAAAATAGTTACCTGTTAATGTATTTAATTTAATATGTTTTTTCACTGTCAAAAATTTTTTCATGTTTTTTAGCATAGCAACCATTTTCAATGATATAAGTATTATACAGTACAGTACATATGCAGTGCTTTCTTAACCTAGGTTGTCATAGTAACAAATTTCTCTAGTATAAGGTAAATGTAGTATGATTGGTATAACATTACTTATCACTTATAAATATTTATGATAGATTTTATATGCATTAAATCTTATATTTCAAATCTAAAAATATTTTTATTAAACTTTGATGAAGCTTTTCATATAGATAACAAGAATTCATAGAAATAATTTTCCTTTAAAAAAAAATCACTTTTATAGAGAAAAACTTTTACAGGAAAAGTTTATTTTTAATTTAAAATTTAAACATTAAAATATTAAAATCTAATTATAAATTATATAAATTTGAATTTCATAATTTAAATAACTAAATAAAAACAAGAAGTCATTAAGAAAAGTTTGTATTTGATCAGTAGTATTGTAATTATAATGAATTTTAGTTGATCATATTTATGCTCTTGTCATCTCTTAAGTTTATGATTTTGAAGGTAAACATTGATTGTTTTTAATGAAAACAGCAGGCCTATTGCCTGTGAAATCCTTTGCAGTATGTCAATCTACCTTCTAATTTCAGATTACTAAAGAAAATAACTTTGTAAAAGAACAACAAAATCCAATTTGAATCAGAATATTTCCATATCACAGTTGATGATGATGTAAAGTGCGCATTCTTTTTGTACACAGAAATACTCTGGACTCTGATACAAAAGAGTAGTAAGTTCCAAAATGGAGTTCAAATATATGCAGCATAAACTATAAAAATATTAATGATAACGGAAAATAAACATAGATAAAAACTATTTCTTATTTTAAAATACTGATAGTAACTTCTTTATTGATATGCTATTAAATTACAACAAATTTTTAAAAACTTCACATAAAATTGTTAATTTCTACTTGAAAGAGTTGGATTTGATTTTTAAACAAAATTAATTCTTCCTTTTTATAGTTCCTTTTACTCTAACCAGATTATTCAGAGGGTATGAGAAAAATATAATTTGAGCATTATTTTTAAAAAATGTAATATATTAAGTTCCAACATTACAAGCATTATATAATTTTTAAAAAACATTCTTACATTATCACTAGCATTGATATCTGCTCCTTGACCTAAAAGGAGCCCTACTAAATTTTTATGCCCATGTGCTGCTGCCAGATGGAGAGCAGTTCTACCTTCTTTATCTTTTGCTTGAATTTGTTCCGTGGCACGGCTAATAATTATTCCTACAACAGCCATGTGCCCTCCACGTGCTGCTAGATGAATAGGGTACAAACCCTATTGAAAAAACATATAGTTTTATATTATAGACTTTCAAATATGATCAATGAACTATTTTTTATATAATGTTTTTTACTTACCTCTATTTGTGTTTTAGCGTCAATTTGTACTCCAGCACTATTGAGGAGTAATCTAACTACATCTTCATGTCCATGTTCAGCTGCGATATGAAGAGGAGTAAATCCGTACTAAAAACAAAATAATTTCTGTAATGTTAATCTTTCAAATTTTTATTTTAAATCGTATTTAAAATATTCTTACATCTTCTGTTTTAGTTTCTGATCTTTGTTCTGTAAGAAGTGTGGCTGGAACTTGGGTTAACATCTCACGAACAAAATCAGACTTCCCTTTACCAGCGGCTATATGTAATGCCGTAATACCTAACTATAAATTAAATTGTAAGCCATATATCTTAAGATATACATCATAAATTATAAATATAAAACAATAATTGTTTATTGTTTTAAAATATAATTTTTTAGCTGTACCTTTTTGCTTACTATTCTCCACGAAACAGCATTATTCAGAGCTTGTAAGACACTAACATGACCATGAATAGCCGCAAGATGAATTGGAGTGTAGCCATCCTACAAAATTTAATTAAAATAATTTTTACTCAGTTAAATTATTTCATTAATAAATTAAATATTTTAAGTCACAAATGTAGCAAAGAGTAAATTATGAGTAATATGTTGTTATTGTAACAGAAAAATACTCTATTTCTTTGATTGGGGAATACTAATTACAGTAATTAGCAATAATGTTAAAATACACACTTATTTAATATTTTTTTTAAATTAACCATAACAGAATATTATATATTATTTATAGAATCTTCTAACTCCTATATTAAGGTGTTAAAAGGAGTTATAAATAGGATGATTACACAAGTCTGCAAAAAAAATTTTTTTCCAGCTGCATGGAATATTTTTGCTGAATTATGTTTTAAAGTTCAGAGATTCTAAAAATGACTTCCATAACATCCTATCACCTATCAGTTTTTTGCAAAATAAAAACAAATATTTGATAAAAACTCTTATTTATTACAATGAACTAAATATATTATGTTTTCTTACAACTAATCAAAAAATTGTTTCTGATATTTATACACAATTTTAGGTTTACTCCTTTTTCTTACGACGCCTTTTCTTCTTCTCTTTGATGCTTCTCTGAACTCCGATTTCCTTCTCTGGTTTCTCGCTTGAGCATCCAACAGTAGTCAGCTAATGTATTGACATCCCATTTTCCTTGGTAACGTCTCTCAATATCACGGACATTCTGGTGAAATCTTTCATCCTGTTCTTCACTGTAGGCTCCCAAGTTTTCGAGAAAATAGTCAATACGGGAATGTAAGAAATGAACTTTTAAAAATAAGCTAATCTTGCATCCTTGAGCTTCATGCACTGCCAGCATGCGTTGTACAATGGTTTTGTAGTCAGGGTCCTTAGTATTCCCCAAAAACTTATGCATTACATTCTCGAAAGAGTCCCATACTTCTTTTTCCTTTTCTCCCATTGTTTCCAAAAAGAGGGGATCAGATAAGGGGGGTGTTGACTTTTCACTGTGTATTCACCACAAACATAACAGAAGCTGTGGGGAGAAATTACACAACCTCTGCGACCCATATTCCAGAAATAAAAATACAAGCGCAGTAACGTTCGAATGCTGGATATAAACTGAGTGTGGCATTAGATGGCCAGCGAGATACTGAACTTATTTAGCTTGTTGAAACACGATCTAATCCAACAGCAAGTTGTTTATATTTATTTCTAGTATCCTAGATAACATGTCGAAACATGCTCAACCTCACTAGTAATATTACTCACTATCAACTTTTAGCCTGTTTCTACACGATTATGCGACCTTCCTCCTAACGCTAAAACTATTTAACCCATCTCCCCCTACCACTACCCTACTACTCTCTTCAATCATTAACATTTTTTTAAAATTTATTGCCAAGTCCAGCTATAATTGATAGAATTAATGTGAGAAGTCTTCGTTTTAAGGCCATTTTTTAAATAAAAAAAAATACTAAATTTTAAGTTAACTAGGAAAATTACGCTAAATACAAACAAAAACTTAAGTGTAACAAAAAATTGACGAGATGGAATTTTTTTGTATTTTTTATGTACCAAGTTGAAATCTATAAGAAAATGTATAAAAATCCTATGCAGTTTTTTACTTGCAGACCTGTGTTATGACCCATGATCATCAGCATTGTTATGAATAATTGCAAGATGAATTAGAGTGTAGCCATCCTATAAATTAAATTTAAATAATTTTATTTAATTATTTATATACATGATAATATTTGTGAATATTAATGTTATACTTTATAACTCCTTAATATAATTCATTTAAAAATTTTAAATATTAAAATACGTTAAAAACTTCAAAACTAAAACAACTTTAAAATGTATAAATAATATAATGTTATCTAAAATTCAGAAATGGATAGCACGCATCGTTTAATAGGAGAAACTTCTTAACATATAGGCGTTAAATTACAAATGAATATCGCTAGATCAACAAGCGCTTTCGACGATAATTATTTTCGTCTTCGTCAGGTCGTTAAAAACGGTTAAAGTCCTTTTTTTTANGGACAGCATGCCAATTGTTTACTAGGAGAAACTTCTTAACATATAGGCATTAAATTACAAATGAATGTCGCTAGATCAACAAGCGCTTTTGACGATAGTTATTTTCGTCTTCGTCAGGTCATTAAAAATGGTTAGTCCTTTTTTGAATATGAATATCAAATTATTCCAACGGTATTAATGTTTTGGAACGAAAGCAACAGTATAATGTAAGAAAAAAGAATTTAAATAAAAACACGCACGGTTATAATGTGCATGTGCTATAAGCCTCCAAACTGTGCAGCTAGATACATTGTTTTAGGCAGTTATACAAGTTAACCCACAAAGGAGGCAAATCAAGTGTGGGGTTGCATGGATTTAGTATGTTGGTAAGGAGGGCCTCCCAAATATACACGAGGCTTCTGTTATTACAATGTCTTAGTATGACCAACTGGTCCCACAATGGGGTGTGTTGGTGTTCTAGCGAGCTCAGTTTCACTCTTGCCTGCCCTGATAGAACACTGATGTTCCGAAATACGATAAGACAACATTCTGGTTGTCGCGCCAGTATCCACCACCGGACATATTTTCCAGTGGAATAGAATAAACCCCAGATCTTTCTAGTGTGGAAGTAGGATCTCTGTCGTTGGATAGCAACCTCCTAAGATTTGGCCGCGGAGAAACTGGCAGAAAAAGCGCATGTCGTCTAAAAATACGGACAGTGACATGGCCACAAAACGGTAACATGGGAAGGACTATTTTTTTGGATTCTTTTGGGAGATGTAGTGTAGTAGCGGAAAAAAGTGATCTTTTTACCTTATTTAAGATGTACATAAACTTGGCATTAGTATAGCCCGCCTCATTTACCGCAGAGCGAGTAGCATTAAGCTCAGTATCGATAGCAGCTTGGCTGAAAAATAACAGAAAGACCCTTCTGATTAAAGAGGCAATTGCCGCATTGATGTAATGTTGCGGCTGGTATGATGTAGCAGAGATTAGGGGAGGAACACCGCTGAACTTATGGAAAACTGAGTAACTATAGTATTCCGGGATTTAGTAATTTTTAGATCCAAAAATGCGATTTCTCTTTTATTGTCTTTTTCTCGGGTAAAATTAATTGTGGGTTAAACGGTCAATTCATTGTGGGATAATTTAATATGAAAATTAACACTGTTGGAATATTTTTTCATCGTTAAACTAGTTTTTTTTATGTAAATTAACATAATGAATTTAAACAAAATATGTACTGTACCTATATTTCTCTTTTTATTGTTTACACTGTGCCTCATTATGTATGGATTTACAATGATAAGTTAAATTATTTAAAAGAAATAAAATCTGCTGAAAATATTTTACGAATATTCTCCTTTTTAGAAATTCTGTAAGCATTAATTGATGTTAAACAACATAGAAGATGCTTAATAATTTATGATTACGTGTGTTGATACCGTGAGAGGATGTCAGAAAGTCCCTATTTTAATCGACAAAGTGCGGTTACTCTGATGCTAATTAGTAGCTCATATCCTCACTAGATGGCAATGTTGTTCATATACATAGAACCCGTCAAGTCTTGGAGAAGTGATGAAATGAATTTTTTAGACTATACATAATACACAGAATACTTTTGGTAAATTTCACTCCTTGCGGAGTAACATCCAATGCAGCTAGTTATCATACCATTATGATGAAACTTAAATAGGGTGTTCGTCGCAAGAGGATGGATGTTGTCAGTGTTTCTGCTTAGTGCAGCAACAACATACACTGAGAGCAAGCCGTACAGTACATTACTTATCGTAAATATTAAATATTTAGCTCTGGAAAAATTTCACTTATTCCGTCCATAATCCTGGTTTAGGCTACACCATGGACTTCAATCTATACCTCAAACTGAAGACTCATTTTCGAAGCTTAAACGTTCAGCTGATGAATATATTCAAGAAGTTAAGCATCGACTATTTCTTCATTTTTCTACATCAAGATGTGAATAGCAGGCTAACACGTTATCGGTTTTTACGGATGGATTAATACCCATAAAAACTTGAATCTCGCATATCCAACATGGATTTGGCCAAGTTTATTTGCTGTGAACTAGATAAAATTCATATAAATATGCAAAAATGGCCCTCTTAATGCCTGCACAAAAGAAAGAGTTTAAGAAAATTCACCAAAGCTTCGATTTCATGATCTACTGCTACGATAAATACTCAACAATAGACTAAATATGTGCCTGTATCTGTTTCGTGTTTCAGAATTGTAACTCCTTTAAGCTTAAAAGAGGGGGAAAAACATAAGAAACCTTACTTTTGACTTAATAAAATTAAATAATTTAAAAGAAATACCTTAATTAAATATAAGAATTTAATTTATATTCGATTATTAATTTTTTGTAATAAAATGTTATTTTTGATATTGATTTCACAGTTATAAATTCCACTTATCAAAAGCTGCACTTAATCACGAAAGAAATTATTTAATGCCTCTGTTAATAAACCTATTTTTCATAGAATAAGATTAAAATCACTTTCAGCAAAATATACTTACAGTAATAATAATATAGATTTGTTAACTATGTATGTCACTCGTAATTTACAACTAAACAATAGAAAAAAGCTTACCTTATATTATATTTTATTGTCTGTAATATGTTTAATAAACATTTAAACATAGATTATGTGAGAGTACCAGGCTATCAGAAATATGATGCCCTGCCTTTCTCCGAAAGTCATTAAAAAGTAGAAATTACAGTGAGACAAATAAAAACAAAATTTTTACGACTTTTTAAAAGAAACGTTGCTCTATATCATTTTCGTATCCTGTTTTTATATCAGAGACTAAATTTTGTGGCCTCTTTAAGTCTGGGACACGGCTAAGTGGCCCTATTCGCCACTATCTGGGCCCGATTATAGAGATATATTTACATTTTTAAGGGTAGCTTGTAACAGAGAACAACAATGATTGTATAATAATAAACAGGGATTACATTTGCATAAAATATTTTCCTTAATTATTCCTTTCCTTATTTGCTCAACTTTAATAAAATGTCTTTTAGTTTATTTATTTTATTATATTCCCACTGACCAGTAGNTATTAATATCATAATAGGACTGAATAAACATAAAAATTGTTTTAACAAAATAAACAAAAATAGATATAAAATCTTAGAAGTTTTAAAAATCATTTTTTAAAATATGAATTTAAAAGAAGTAAAAAAGCTTTAGGATCATTATATTACCGTTTTTTGATGCATATTGCCTGTGGGTTATCTATTTAGAAGATAAAATGGGGTACTGCTTTTGGTTATAGGCTGACTTTAAATTGCAATTACTAAACTCGCACCTATAGAGTAACAATTGTTATATAAGCGCGATGTATGCTATAAGTTTATAGCAAGATTTAATTTAATTTTCATTCTAGCAATTTTCTGCAGGTTATAAAATATGGTTTACCAATTACGTAAAATTAAGTTTAAACAAGCACTGCTCGGAGCAATTAATTAAGGGGTATGGCAGCATGAATTTAGAACTATAACATGATTGACAATTTTGTTTTATGTGAAACTAATGTTTAGACAAATAATGATAAAGAAAAGCTTCTTATTAAACTCGCTGTAAATTTTTTAAAATGAAAAATACACTACATTAGGGCATTTGGTATAATTACCGAAACAATGCAGGGCGATTCAAAAGTCTCCATACATAAATGGTTCACGTATCAGTCATAGAATATGACCTAAATTGGTAGCATAACTGAAAGCACGTTAACACGTCTGATATTATGGCATGTACAATCGGTAGTAGCCTACATAGCTTCAGGTAGTCTGTTTTGTACAGAGACTTCACTCGCCTGTAGTTTATCTAGCATGAAAAAAGCATTAGATTTTTCAGCAGTTTAGTACTTCATGTATGTTCTAAAGTATTAAATCATTCTCCTTAGTGTTTGTGTATGAGGAAGAATGAGGGGAAAATCAAATTAATATTATTGATTTTGTTTTTTGTAAAATGGATCTGATGTTGCACTATTCCCCTGTTTTGATTAGCCTATATAAATCTTTCAAAATTCTAAATTTTATTATTATATTCCTGATTCAAAATCTTTAATGTTTATTTTAAGATTTTTTAATTAGGAAAATTATAGATTAGATGAGATGAAAAATATGTTTAATCAATTTTTCTTCTTTAATTTAGTGAAGTTCATACCTTAAAAATAGCATCAGCTTGTCTAAATAGATTTTCTAAATAAAAATTTCTTTAAGATCGTCTGGTATTTTACAAATTATTCATAAGAAATAACATAAGAAGCTTTTCGAACTTAAATTTTATAATTAAGTAATAATTAATTTATTTATTCTAACTTACAGACGAGGACTATTTACACGTGAACAAAACAAGCTAAGCTTAAAACTTCGTGTTAAAATACAGTTTAGGGCAGGGGTGTCCAACCATTCTGTTTCTCTGGGCCACATTGGAAGAAATCATGGAGTTTTGGGCCACAAGTGTATTATACTTGCGGCCCAAATACAGTGGTGCCTCGTATAACGTACGCCTCGAATAACGGACGCTGCGAACAACGGACTTTCTGTTTGGCCGTTACGTGAGGCGAACAACATTTCTGCGAACAAATTGCGAATGATGTTTCCACTCTTTTGCCGTTGCCAATGACAATCTACTATTTTTAGAATATATTAGTATTATTAGAATATATTATTAATATATCAAGTACAGAGCTCCCGTTGGGATTCGGCTTACTCCCTTGTTTATTACGTACTGTACATCACCTCAGTGCAAGGTATTTACATTTATTCAAGTGTTGTGCAAATCATGGCTTCTAAAAAACAGAAAGGTGATTTCAATTGAAACAAAACAAGACATCATCAGAAGGAGTGAAAGTTGACAAAAATTTCCTTGTCGAATGGGGAGAGGTTCAAGAGTTTACCAACACTTATTATCCGAACAGAGCTGAGGCCAACAGGATCAATGATCTCTACAATGACACCCTTGCCCGTCATTTTCGTCAGGTGTTGAAGAAGAGAGAGAAACAGACCACCTTGGACATGTTTTTCAATAATCCAACTGCCAAAAAACAAAGGATGGAACAAGAAGAGTTGACCCTGCAAGCTCCGGTAGCCTCTCCTGAATCTGACTCCGATTAAAAATCAATAAAAAGAGACCCGCTGCAATGTGTAAAAAGTCTGTATTTGTATGAATGTGTGAAGAAAGTGTTCCTCCACCTCCTTCTCATAACATCTGACTACCCGGCATAATTGATGACTGCTCCATTTTCACTTTTTTTAATGGTACAGTACGGTTATTTTATGCTGCGGAACGAATTATACGTTTTAATTAGTATGTATTTCTATGGGAAAATGCGTTTCGTATAACGGACGTTTCACTTAACGGACGTGCACCTAGAAGGGATTAAGTACATTATATGAGCAGTGGCGTAGCGTGGGTGTCAGCCGCCCGGGGCAAAGGAAAATTTCGCCGTCCCCTTAGTTAGGTATCTCAATTTAAAAGACTAAAATTCAGTTTCGTCACAGAATAAGTAATGAAAAATTCCGTGCTAGTGTTGCCACCTTTTTAAAATCGCGCTGACCCGGACGGCAGGTGAAGTTTGTTCGAACAGAAGTTCCTGACGCATGCATATGTCATTTTGCAATGCGAAGAATAATGTGCAGTACATGTCGATTCTAAATCAGTTACAGTTAGCGACTAGGGAGACTCGGGTAGGAGTAACGTAGGTAACCTAGATGACGTAGCTCTATTGGATATTGGAGGTGTATATGACTACGAATGAATCTTACAAGCAAGAAAAAAAAAAAAGGTCGACAGGTTGCGCACAATATAGTCGGGTAAAGTTAATAGTTCATCCGGACGGTGAGTCGATTCCCGGACTGTCCGGTTGGTAACACTATTCTGTGCTCATTTCAATCGATCCGAATCGTAGGTGCGACGAAAATATGAAATGAAATGGTTCAAATTTTTACAAGATATTATTTTATTTATTGTGAAATTTTGCCGCTCCTAAAACGTGCAGCCCCTGCATCCCCCACTACGCTACGCCACTGTATACGAGGCACCACTGTATATTGTGGCCAAATCCTTACAAGTATATTTAAGGATTAACATGTCTAGATTATAGTAATAAATATTAAAAGTTTATCACGAAAAAGAATACTGTATTTTTAAAAATTACTTCTACAGACACTTTTAATTTTTGCTTAGAAATAGATAAATTCATTTATTATAAAGGAAACAAATAAAAATTTACTTGAAAAACACAGATATTTGTTTTATTTGGGTTTCTAATGAATAAAAAACGACGAAACACCATTTTAAAGTGTATTTTTATTCAACTGATATATTTATAAATAATACGTAGCCCAAAAAGCAGCCAATGCGCGAAATGATATTTTTTACGCCAAACTAAAAAAAGGATAGTCAAATTTGGCGCAAAATAGCCAAATCATGCAACGCTGGAAGGAATACTAAATAAAGCTGGAGTTGGGACTCAAAGGATTATAGACCCAAATGAGGGGAAAGGAGAGAAAGGACAAAAGATAAAGAAGTGAGGAAGGTTGGAAAATTAAGGGTCAATATTTGCACAACAGAAGATCTATTTAACCTTTCTTACTACTTTTTATCTCTCTACTTTTTATCTCCCGAATTTGGGTCTATAGTTCTTTAAGTCACAACTCCAGCTTTATTTAGTATATCTTCCTCATTCACACATTTTTAAGTATTTGAAAATATTTCCTTTCCACTCAAATATAAAATATGTATAAATGTTTACGGCTTTGAGTTTATGCCGTTGAAATAAATAAATAAAAAAATACAAAAATTTTTTCGGTTTTGTTTACACGTTTATTGGGCCACATTAGAAATTGCTTTGGGCCACCGCGCGCCGGTTGGACACTGCTGGTTTAGGGCCTCATATTTTTAAAGTTACAGTATTATTACTTACTAGAGAGGCTATTCCTCTTATGTGGTATAGTTTTTATTTTCGTACTAGCAATTTCCTGTTATACGCAGGCATAAATTATACGTCTGAAAATGCGGTTCTTTGATATAGTTTTTATTTTGCGTTATTTTGCTGTAAATGTTTTATTGTTAATTTTGTGGTAAAATATCATACAGGAGTGTGATTTTACATTATACTTCTCTATGATACTTTTGTTTATAAATAATTAAAAAATTATCATAAATAAATAAAACTTATATGAAATGAGTGTAAAATCATACAGCATTTTCCTCCGATGCTGAAGCTCCTGCTTGTAGCAATACTAGGACAACATCACCATGACCACCTTCTGCAGCAAGATGTAAAGGAGTGCATCCACTCTGGAAAGATAATTCATAAATAAATAATAGAATAGAAATATGAAGGTTTAATTCTTATTACATATAAAATATCTTCATATTTTATATATTATGTAGTAAAGAAATTGAAATATCTAACCTTGGTTTTCGCTGAAGTAATCAGAGTTTTATTAAACTTCATCAATTCCTTTATTACACCAACACTTCCTTTCATTGCAGCAATATGGGCACAATTGTAACCCTCCTAAAATATTTAAAATATAATTAAATATAAATAAATGTTTTTATTTAAAAAAATTTATAGTACATATAATATTATGAACTTTATACATAGAAAATACATTAATTAAAAATCCTTAAGAGAACATTTATTTTTCTTTGTTTATAATAATAATTATAATTATAAAGAATTTTAATATGATAAAATTACATTTTAAGAATCTTCTGAAGCCAATTATATATTTATAAAAGTTTTAAGAAATTAATTTTTTTAATATACATTAATATAATGATGTAAATCGATACGGAAATGTAATTTATTATAATTTTTTCTACTGCTACACGCAAATAAAAATTTTGGAAAGTGCCCAAGATCTATAAAATATTTTATAATTTAATAAATATATATAAAAAAGTTTTTACCTTGTTAGCGAGTGAAACAAGTTCTGGTTTGTGCCGTAGAAAAAGTTTTACAATTTCAGAATGGTCGTTTTGTGCTGCTAGCAGTAATGGAGTTTGTCCATGCTAAAAAAATATTTTTTTTAAATTAATTAAAATCGAAGATTTTTATATATTAAACATGAATTAAATTAAAAGGAAGAGTATATTACTTACATTATCAAGAGCATTAGCATCTGATTTTAATTCTAATAAAATATTGCACACTTGTATCTGTCCTTGTTCGGCAGCCAGGTGTAGAGGCGTTTCTTTATTCTGTTATTTCGAAATAAAACTTTTTATTATTTACTTCAAATTTATATAATTATTATTATTTGAACTATGTTCTAGATACACAAAGATTTTGAGTTTCTTGAATCGAGCAATTTGTATAAAAAGAAGAAGAAAAGCGCACTTCTCCATGGAAGATGTTAGATGAGGAGGAAAAATTGGTGTAGATATGAATTTTCTAAAATACATATTATCAATTCAGCTCTTTTTTATGAACTGTTGAGTAATCACAAAAAGAACTTTCTAACGCTATTGGACTACTTGGGATTCCTAGTCATTTGTTCCATCAGCTTATCACATATGGGGCTTTATATTTTTTATATTTATGATGCCTATAGACTGCGACTTCATACTAATCTTTCATGCCACTATTTTTCATAATCTTCCTCTACGCTGTCCTAGTTCTTACTGCTAAGATTCTCACTACTTGTACCCCATTCATAAATTTAAACATTTGATTTACTAAAATATTGAGATACTTACTAAAGTCAAGGCGTCTAACATTGCTCCATGCTGAGTTACCATCTGACGAACAATATTTCCATACCCATTCTTCGCAGCCATATGAAGAGGTGTCATTCCTTTTTTGGATCTGACATTTATAAAAGCTTTATACTTTAGTAATAATTCGATAACGTCGTTATGTCCCTTTTCGGCAGCTAAATGTAATGCAGCTTTACCATTCTATAACGTAAAAAAATTGATTTAGGAACTAATTTTTAAAGAAATTTTAAAAGAAATAATGCTTGCCTCGTCAAAAACATCCACTCTTGCTCCATGCTTCAAAAGAAAGTCCACAATTGCTAAGGTACCAGCTTGGCAAGCAAATAATAATGGGGACCAACCATCCTACATAGATAAAGTTAACGTACTATACTTAATAATTCATATAAATTTATATTTTAAAAATTAGTTTGTATGAGATATTTACTTTTGCTTGTTTGTTGCAAAGCGTTTGCATTTCGTTTGGACTCATTCCTGATACCAATTCTTCCATTATACTTACATTCCCTGATCGACTGCAATAATGAAGAGGCGTTTCGCTAGTCTATAATTACATTAAAATTAATTTAAATTTGGAATATTTTATTTTAATGACGATCTAAAACTCTGTACTTATATTTAATTATCATTAATTTGGTTTTATTAACTATGCAATATATCTAAAATTTTATTATTTTTATTAGTGAAATCACTTCGTGTTATTATTATTATTATTATTTACGTTTCTTGTTAATATATAAATTTATTGTTATTTTTTCTAAAGATATTGTTAACAATTAACTGTTAACTGTTAGGGCCTGAGAGAGTTGAGATGAGGCCTTTTACCTCTACGAAAACCATAAAGATAAATTAATAAAACTTAATAAAACAAATAAAAGTAGTGAAATGGCTGATTTTATGTTTAATAAATTAAATAATTACATATATATATATATATATATAAAGGAATCTACTGGCATCTAGCTCAGTAGGGTCTTTGTTCTGTATGTTATCTTATTGATTCTATTATTTTTAAATATTTTATTACGTGTATTATTTTTTAAATTATATTTTTATTATTATTTGTAATGTTTAACTCACTATTTTAAATAATATTTTATAGTATATTATATCAGCATTTCCCAAACTTATTGGTATAACGGAGCCCTTAAGCAAGGAAAATATTTTTTGAGGAGCCCTCACAACTCATCCGTATCTTTTTTCTATAAATTTATACAATTGAGAGAGACCACCAGATTCTATTTTGTTTTATTTTGTATTATTATTTTATCGAACGGTTAAGTTGAAAAAAAATATATATATATCTGTTTACTAATAAATTTATAATATATAAATATTTTATTTTTATCATTCAATGAAATGTCAGTTGTACGAACGATGCGTGATAAGGTAAATGGCAACTACCGTGCTAAGGTGTATTGCCGACTCAAATAAATAACTGTTCGTTTAAAAATAGTTATAAAATAAATAAATAACGCATTTGATCCGTTAACTTTGAAAATACTTTAAAAATTGTAAACCTAATACTATTTAAATGAAAAATTGTTACTTTACATGTTTTCAAAACGATAAAAATGCAAAGTAATAATAATAATAATATATAAATTATAATTACATTGTTTTAATCTAATTAGTATTTATTTATTTAACATTTTCTTTATTATAATTATTATTTTATTTCATTTTCTCTGCTATTTATTGATTTCAAATTAATAANATATAGTTAAGGCAGATAGAAAAAATAAAATATTTATAAAATTCTCTCTAAAAATCTATCACCGATAAATGGGCTATTTTTCTATAGAGAAGTCCACGCGGGAGGCACTCCTCCTTGACAGTTCGCTCTCGTGTTGCATTACCTTATCTCATACAATAACAACAATTAGGCTACATAAAGTTTCCCATATTTAAAGAAAAAATTTTGTTTAATAAGGAAATTTTAACTTTAAATCGGAGAAATTTATAAATTCTATTATCTTTAAAAAAATCCTATAAAATAGGGAAATTTTAATTGTTAAAAACAGAAATTCATAAATTTCGTTTCTGTTAAGGAAACAAAATTTATAATTACAACGTATTAAAAGTTAGAATTTTCCCTTATTAAAAAGTTTAAAATTACAAACTTTGTTTCTGTTTTAAGTGCTGTAAGTGTAAGATTAAATGCATTTAAAATCGAAATAAAAATCAAATAACTCTTAGAAATCGGTGAAGAATCATTAAAATAAAAAAAGCAAATATAATTTTATTAATATATCTAATTTGCACATTTTAATAACAAGATTATAGACGTGGCAGGAAGCATTTTAGAAAGCTTTCCCTCCCTTTTCATATACACAAAATTAGAACAATTGCGTGCAGAATGCGAAAGACCTTTAATGAAAGTGTTCCAATGAAACAATAGGAGAAAATCATATTTAGTTCTCATAAAAATTCAAACGGATAAAAGTCACGTAAACAATTTTATGCTACAAAAAATATTTTAAAAAGTTTTCTCACATTATTAGTGACAAGTGTTACATTAGCGCCATATTCCAATAAAACTCTAGCAATATCGCGATCTTCTGATGGTGTATGATTCATTTCTTTAGTCAACGAAGCTGCATAATGAAGAGGTGTTTCTCCTGCCTTTAAATAAAATTAGAATATAAATATCGTGGTTAATTTATATGTATATTTAAAGGATGACTCAAAGATATCTACTAAGTTTAATTCTTTATCACAACTGAACGACGAGGTATACAAATCTTTGTTAAATCATCATTTAAAGCCCATTATAATGCGTTCAATATAACTTCAATGATCGTGGAAAGCATTATGGAAATGAATGACTAGCCTAAACAAAGGCATATGCACTTTATGCCAGTGGTACCATGTAATGCCAGTAGGTACAGTACCATGGACTACTGCGCACTCCTTTGACCTGCTACTCTCCGGTTATGAATCAATGAGATTTCTTTTCATGAAGATAATTCTAGAGTAAGTGCATTAAATCAATACAAAGACTTTGGAGTTACTGAACCATCTGCATATTTTCCAGAACTGTCCTTGAAGCTTCTTATCATAAAGTGCACCACACAAATTCAAAAAGTCAGAGCTTGAGTCATCTACTCTCGAGTCTAAATATTCTCTATTTTGAGAAATGTTTTTAAAGTGTGACGTTAAATTTTGGGAGAAGATTGGGGAAGATCGAGACTGAGGTTGAGGACAAACATATTGAACACAATACAATATAAATGGCTCCATATGCTGATTTGAGTAAGATTTGTATACCTCGTCGTTCAGTTTTAATTAAACTTATCAGGTATCTTTTAGGTCACCCTGTATTTAATATTTATAGAAAATTTACCTCATTTTGTTGATTTACTAAGAGACATACTGTATCTTCGGGATTTTTCTTTTTCCAATATTCTAAAATTAATTTTACGATGCCGTAATGGCATCGACTGACAGCAATGTGTAAGGCACTTTCACCATCCTGTAAGTTAAAAGTTTATGCAAATATATGTAATATTTGATATTTAAATATTCAGCAACAAATAATATTTACCTCAGATGTGATTCCGAGTTCGATTTCTTCTTCTTCGAGTAACAATTTTGCAGTTGGAATGAAACCGTAATGGGCAACTATGTGCAGAGGTGTCTTCAACCCCTAAAAGTATTACCGTATTTACTATCTTTCGAGCTTTTTTTTATAATTTTAAAGTGTATAAAAGAGATCTTTCTTACTACTTCTGTGAGAGCATTCACGTCAGATCCACATTTTATTAGTAATTCTGCACATTTCTGACCGTTTTCTGTTCTGCAAGAGATGTGCAATGGTGTTTCTCCATCCTACATATAAAAATTCATCAATATTTAAGTTATAAATTAAAATTTATATTCACTAACGTTAGTAAATTTGTGTGAAAGCATACTTTTCCGCCTTTAAGATGCACTTGAGCACCAAAACCTAGCAGAATTTCTAACACCTCTGCCTGGTTATTCATAGCAGCTGCATGTAGAGCTGTCAAATTATCCTTTTAAAAAAACGCAAAAGTTAAATAAAATTAAGAAATATTTTTGCTTTTAAATTAAACAAAAACATCTTTAAGAATTCTCACATTTGTTTTTGAATCGACTTGCTCTCCTCTGTGTATTAAATTCTTAATTACTTCTACATACCCGTGTGCTGCGGCCATATGAATGCCTTTGGCTCCAGTCTAAATTATACAAAAAGTTAAATAAATGTACTTGATAAAATAATTTTAAAATGTAGAAATCTTTTAACATATTTACTTTGTTTGGCATCTGTAAAGGTACTCCTTTCTTCAGGAAGACCATAGCTGTATCAGGATGCCCTGATTCTGAAGCCAGATGCATTAAAGTACTGCCATCCTATACAATTTCAAAATTATTATAATTAAAAAACATTAAATTATATTAAATTTATTAAAGATAATTACATTCTATCGCTTAATTATACTTAATTATAGCACAAACATCATATCTTACCGGCTTATCAAGCCTCAAATAATCCTTCTTTTTCATGTTTCTATCACTAAATAATGTTAAACATATATACTTAAACACAATTAATTATACATAAATTACATTTTATGTAAGTTATTTGAATATTAATTACATTTAAGAACGTTTTTAAGGAGCGATATTGTTCTAAACTTGAGTTTACAAGTAGAAGAACTTGAAGTTCTATGAGTGAAGAACTTGAGCAACGAGTCGAGAGTCAAGTAAATTTTAAAATACCACTAAATGGTATATTATAATATATTCATAATGTTTTCCGGCAGGTGATAATTTTATAAATTTATAGTTTTTAACCGTTTCCTCCGGATGTTGCAGCGATGGAGGGGTTGGAACGTGGAATATTCATATGATATTGTTTATAATTGTATAATGAATAAATACCGTCACGTATTTCAACGTTTTTATATCGTGACTGTAACCTAGTTAATACATTATATATAATTTATATATATATTTAATGAAACAGGAAGAAAATATGCTTAAAATTCAAGTAATATTTATCAAAAACCACGACTTTCATTTTATAAAAAAATAGAAAAATATTGTACACGCAAATAAATAAATTATAAAATGAAAATTACACATAAAAATTAATTTTATACTGAATAATTTATATTTTTTTATGATATTTTAAAGTTATAATCTAAAATATAGCCGATTTGACATAAAAAAGCTTGTATAAAGGGTGGTCCAAAAGTCAATTAATCATCGTAACTACTAATTTGATGTCTTGTTTTGTAGCTAAATACTGGTACAATTGAATTTACAATTACAACTTTAGAAAGAAACGCACGGATAACTGACTTTTGAGCTACCCTGTAAGTTTAAATGCATTTAATTTGAAAATTTTATTATATATCCTCTTTTTTTATGAATTTAAATAGTTTTAGATGTAAAGATAACATTAAATATTCTTTGTTCCTATCAAATACCATGAATGTTAAATTAAAAAGAAGGAACCGCCCTTTACTAAAATCAATTCATTGTAGGAACCCGTTTCTATGCAAAAATTTTAATATTAATCCAATTAATTTTTGTATAAATTCTTTTTTAAACTTTATAAAAATATATATATATATTCAGTAAGATTTAAATTAATAGATACATTTAAATTAAAATTATGTTAAATCTTTGATTGATCTATGCAAATTTATTTCATCGAAGAATTGAATATAAAATGTTAATAAAGTTCATTTTAAAACGATTATTTCACACGTGATTTTTTAATTTTAAAACCAGTGATTATTTATTGTGACATCGTCACAATGTCAAGCTGTAATTTTTAATCATATTTTTTATTTATTTTATTTAAAACATATTCTATCCATCTAAAGTTAGTAGTGTTGTGCCCCTGTATACCATGCTTTTCCTTTAGCAACTGAGTCGTGCCGGTCATCTATTAACTGCTTTCAGGAGAAGTTTTGAATTGAAATAACCTGACTTCCGGTTTATACCAGAAGTTCATATATAATTAATCGGGACTTCCTGGCCCTAAGGTTTCCTAATTTTATCTTTCATCTAACTTAGTACTTGAGATTGAGGAAAGACGGACAGACGGACGACAATGGGAATTTACAGGTCTACAATTTTTTCAAATTGTGGCCCAATAAGAAATTTTGGTTGTTTTTACTTATGATATAGATTTATTATGTTAACAGATTTAAGCGGTTAGTGTTTCTCTATAAGAAATAATAATTGAGCTAGGAAAATTATATTTATTTTATACTCATTCTGAGAACAAGAATGTTTGTATAACAATAATGAAATATAGCAGTACAACAGTAACAGCAGCAATGGCAATAAAAAAAACGTCTTTTGATTATAAGAGTAACAAAAATATTCTAGTCTACAACAGTAATAACAATAGGAACCAAATAGAAATCTTTGAAAGTACTGTACAACAGCAACAGCATCTTTGGCAAAAACATCAAGATTAGAGGTTGCCGTTGCTTCATTATCCTATTTACTCAACTTCGAATTATCTACTAACCAATATTAAGATTGGTTAAGACAAATTATAATCTGAATTTTTAATGAAATAATAAGTTTCTTTAAGACTATAATTAATTGCGACAATGTAAACAAACACTCGAGCTCAAAATGTTAACGTAGAATCTACATTATAATTGCAACTGCACGACTCTCGACTGTAGTTAAAATCTGGCTTTAATGGCTCAAAAATTTTTATTAGAATTGATTTTTTTAGTTTACATTCCATTCGACGCGCTTAAAGAAATAAGATTTTTATATAAAAATAACGTTAATTTATCGTTTGCTAAATATAAAATGCCAATATTTATTTAAAATACAGAAAAAGAAATTATTTATGTAAATCATAAAAATCAAGTTTAAATTTAAAGATTTATAACAAAAATCAAAGAATATAATGTATAAAAAAAAATAAGAGCGGATTTGAATGGACTAAAATATTTATGTTCATTCTTTTATTTTAAAAAATATTTTGTAAAAATGTAAAATAATAATTATAAAATGGAATTTAACATAAAAAATTTATTAATATAAATATACTTTATACATTAATTCACTTCCAAAGTATATGTAATTCAAAAATAATTTCTGATGCTGTTCAACTGTTAACTTGTCGTTGTCCTCTTCAATTTATCCTTCTTATCTTTCTAAGAAAAGTCTAATTCCAGAACAGAATAATTTATTATTATTAAAATGTATTCGTTTGCATTAATTGGACTGCAATTTTCAAAATATAGACCTATAGATTCCCACTGTCGTTCGTATGTCCGTCCGTTATTCGTCAATCTCGAGAACGAAGTTACACAGATGAAAATCGAGATCAGGTATGGAAAGCTTAGGGATCGGAGGTCTCCATTAACTATATACGAACATCCTGTCTGGACCGGAAGGCACGTGATTTCAATTTAAAGTTTTTCTAGAACGGACTTAAATACATAAAAATACGCGAATAAAATCAATTTTTAAAAAATTCATTACTTTATCAGTTTCAGATCATGCTTTTNACATAAAAGATGTATAAAATAATCAAAATTAATTTCGAACTTACATTCGAATTTGTATTTCTCAATGGGTATCGTTGACCTGCTCTAGACAGAGGTTGAAGTTGTCGAGGTTTAGGTATGTTAGACATGTTAAAAAATCACTATATATTAAATCAGTAAAGTAAAATATTGCAGTGAACATTGCAAAAATTAACGCTTATAACCAAAAGTGTCCATAGCATATCCTTTAGTAACTACCTAGCAGTTTTATTATACAGGGGAGGAGGAGGCATTTACTTCTTTATTATTTATAATGCCCAATCGGTGTTGGGGCTTTTAGAATCGTGTTTATGTACGGGTACAACTAAAGTACTTTTCGATGTGTAGAAATCTAATGCACGCAATTTAACGAAACAATATAACTTTTTAAAAGTGTTCGTAAGAATGGGTTTATGATATTGCTCACTTAACGAAAAAAATAATAATAAAATAAATAATTCCGTTTCTACAACACGATGAATGTTTATATTCAATTCTTTTTTTTCTAANGATAATTACATTCTATCGCTTAATTATACTTAATTATAGCACAAACATCATATCTTACCGGCTTATCAAGCCTCAAATAATCCTTCTTTTTCATGTTTCTATCACTAAATAATGTTAAACATATATACTTAAACACAATTAATTATACATAAATTACATTTTATGTAAGTTATTTGAATATTAATTACATTTAAGAACGTTTTTAAGGAGCGATATTGTTCTAAACTTGAGTTTACAAGTAGAAGAACTTGAAGTTCTATGAGTGAAGAACTTGAGCAACGAGTCGAGAGTCAAGTAAATTTTAAAATACCACTAAATGGTATATTATAATATATTCATAATGTTTTCCGGCAGGTGATAATTTTATAAATTTATAGTTTTTAACCGTTTCCTCCGGATGTTGCAGCGATGGAGGGGTTGGAACGTGGAATATTCATATGATATTGTTTATAATTGTATAATGAATAAATACCGTCACGTATTTTAACGTTTTTATATCGTGACTGTAACCTAGTTAATACATTATATATAATTTATATATATATTTAATGAAACAGGAAGAAAATATGCTTAAAATTCAAGTAATATTTATCAAAAACCACGACTTTCATTTTATAAAAAAATAGAAAAATATTGTACACGCAAATAAATAAATTATAAAATGAAAATTACACATAAAAATTAATTTTATACTGAATAATTTATATTTTTTTATGATATTTTAAAGTTATAATCTAAAATATAGCCGATTTGACATAAAAAAGCTTGTATAAAGGGTGGTCCAAAAGTCAATTAATCATCGTAACTACTAATTTGATGTCTTGTTTTGTAGCTAAATACTGGTACAATTGAATTTACAATTACAACTTTAGAAAGAAACGCACGGATAACTGACTTTTGAGCTACCCTGTAAGTTTAAATGCATTTAATTTGAAAATTTTATTATATATCCTCTTTTTTTATGAATTTAAATAGTTTTAGATGTAAAGATAACATTAAATATTCTTTGTTCCTATCAAATACCATGAATGTTAAATTAAAAAGAAGGAACCGCCCTTTACTAAAATCAATTCATTGTAGGAACCCGTTTCTATGCAAAAATTTTAATATTAATCCAATTAATTTTTGTATAAATTCTTTTTTAAACTTTATAAAAATATATATATATATTCAGTAAGATTTAAATTAATAGATACATTTAAATTAAAATTATGTTAAATCTTTGATTGATCTATGCAAATTTATTTCATCGAAGAATTGAATATAAAATGTTAATAAAGTTCATTTTAAAACGATTATTTCACACGTGATTTTTTAATTTTAAAACCA